TAAAAGATCTCAGAACACTGGGCTGAATCTCATAAGATAAGATTCATCTGGGATATGTGTGAATTCTTGTATTTTGGTTTTTAAAAATGACAGTTTAGGATGAGGAAGAGCTGGCTTGGCAGCATTACATTTGAAAAGGACCCAGGTGTCTCAGTGGATTGCAAACTGAATATGAGTCAACATTGAATATTGCAATGCATCAACTAAGAAAATTACTGAAATCTTGGGCTGTTTTAAGAGAATTATAGTGTCCAGATCACAGGAAACAATATTTACACTCTGCTCTGCAACAGTCAGGCTGACTGTCAGAGCATTGTGTCTCTGAGCACACCCATTTTAAAAGGGACATTGACAAGGTGGAGTGCAAAAGAAAAGCAAACAGGATGGTGGGAGGTTAGAAATCCAAGTGTTATGAGGAATAGTTGAAAGAGGTAAGCTTAGACTGGAGAAGAGAATATTAAATGGATAAATAACACCAGTGTTCATGTAGCAGTCACAGCAGATTTGTCTGTTGTACCCAAGGGCAGGACTAGAACCAAGGGTTGGAACTTGCAGAGAAGCAGATTTCAGCTTAATTTAGGAGAGAAAAGTCCCAGTAGTGAGAGCTGTTGTGCAATGGAACAGATTGCCTTGGGTTGTCCTTTGCTGAAGGTATTTAAGGAACACCTGGATGACCAACTGTCAGAGATACTGTAGCAAAGCCTGCATTGAGTAGAGTGCTGGATTACATAATCTCTAAGATCCCGTTCAACTTCTATGAAATCCAGTACTTTGGCTTAAATATCTGTTTTACCCAGTTTTATATAACAATAAAGATATTCTGGATTCTTGAGTTTGCAAAAACGTCCTGTTATACATCTAATTAGAAGTGACAGGTTCTCAGCAGGTGTAGCTTGTCATGTAAGGGTCAGAAAAGTCACAACTGCTAAACATTCCTTCAGTTATTCCCCGACTGTGCTCTTTGCATCTGTTCTCCATAATGGTCAGGGCATGATACAAAACACTGTGGCTATTTTTTTCACAATGACTAGCACAATTTTTGGTAATAAAGAGATGCTTAGAAGTGGTCATAGAAATGCTGAGCCTCCATGTGATCATACAGAAAGGTGGTAGAATTACTGCTTCTTTAATCATTATATAGAAGAAGGAATTTTGGTTGATGTATGAACCTGTCCTAAAAGACCACAGAAAGCTGCTCTTGTGGAAATTTTGTGATGTTCACAGCAGAGGAAAGTCACCTCCACCTCATTTTTCTTACCACATGTGATTATTTCTCAGAAGCACCTCTGCTGTTTACTCGACAGACTGAGCAACTTTTCTTACAATAAGTTCATTTGATCAAGAATTATTAGTGCCAAAGTCATGAATCCATTACACTGAAAAAGAAAGTGGGGTACATTTTACCATGGGTTTTCTGAGAGGTATTGTACCATGTGCATTCATATATGTGATTACATCAAAATGACTTTCCAAGGTTTTCACAATGGATGTGTGCACATCAATAATTGGAGATAATTCCACCTTAAACAATAATTCCACCTCAGCTAGCTCTGCTAAAGACAAATGACCTTCAGTTACTTCAATAGCTCTCCCTTACTTACTATGTTAGCCAACTGAACATTCATAACTGACTTATACTAAGCCTCTTTTAAAAAAAAACCTAAAGAAACATCTTTGTATCCTCTTCTATAGCATATAAGCTGAGAGGTCCACCTCTGCTGACAAGTTTCTGGGGGGCCTGAACACCCCACCCCCTGGGCTCAGTTTAAAGTCTTCCGGACAAAGCTCACTAGAGCATCTCCAAAGACCTTTTCCCCATCCTCATGAGGTGCAACCCATCCCTTGCCACACCCTAAGATAGTCATTCACCTTGGCGACCTTCCTATCCCTGCCTGGCCCAAAACCCCAGACTGGTAAGATAGATGAGAAGGACACTTAGGCCTTAAGGTCCCTGAGTTTCTTCCCCAAGGTCTCCAAGTTACTGATGATCCCACCCACACCCTGCCTGGCTATGTTATTTGCACCCACGTGGATTACCAGAAGCAGCTGGTGACCCCCAGAGTGAACAAGAAGCTCCACTCTATCCTTCACATGCTGGAAGCGTGTGCCCGGCAGGCAACAGACCTCCCTCACCTCAAGGTTTGCGTGGCACACTGCCACTTCAGTGCCCCTGAATACTGGAATACTGTCACCTCCACTAGCTTTGTTGTTTCTCAGACTTCCTAAGGCTTCACATTCCAGACTCGAGGTCAGTGACCACCCCATCGTGGTTATCAGGGACATTAAGCTCTTTCTTGTATAGTTCTTCTGTGTAATCCTGCCACCTCTTCTTAATCTCTTCCGCCTCTGTTAGGTCCCTGCCATTTTGGTCCTTTATCATGCCCATCTTTGCATGAAATGTTCCCTTCATATCTCCAATGTTCTTGAAGAGATCTCTGGTCCTCCCTATTCTATTGTTTTCTTCTATTTCTTTGTACTGTTCATTGAAGAAGGCATTCTTATCTCTTCTAGCTATTCTCTGGAATTCTGCATTCAGTGGGGTGTATCTCTTTCTCCCATGCCTTTTGCTTCCCTTCTTTCCTCAGCTATTTGTAAAGCTTCCTCAGTCAGCCATTTTGCTTTCTTGCATTTCTTTTTCTTTGGGATGGTTTTAGTTGCTACCTCTTGGACAAATTTGTGAACCTCCGTCCATAGTTCTTCAGGCACTCTTGTCTATCAGATCTAATTCCTTAAATCTATTTGTCACCTCTACTGTATATTCATCAGGGATATGATTTAGGTCATACCTGAGTGGCCTAGTGCTGTTCCCTACTTTCTTCAATTTAAGCCTGAATTTTGCAACAAGAAGCTCATAATCTGAGCCACAGTCAGCTCCTGGTCTAGTTTTTACTGACTGTATAGAGCTTCTCCATCTTGGGGTGCAGAGCACATAATCAATCTGATTTCTGGGACCGTCTGGTGATGTCCCTGGGTAGAGTTGTCTCTTGGGTTGTTGGAAAAGAGTGTTTTCTATGACCAGTCTGTTCTATTGCGAAAATTCTACCAGCCTGTGCCCTGCTTCATTTTGTACTCCAAGGCCAAACTTGCCTGTAATTCTACTTATCTTTTGGCTTCCTACTTTAACATTCCAATCCCCCATGATGATAAGGACAACATGTTTTGGTGTTAATTCTAGAAGGTGTTGTAGGCCTTCATAGAACTGGTCAACCTCAGCCTCTTCAGCCCTGGTGGTTGGGTCATAGACTTGGACTACTGTGATGTTGAATGGTTTGCCTTGGATTCGAACTGAGATCATTCTGTCATTTTGGAGATCGTATCCCAGTACTGCTTTTCCTACTCTTTTATTGACTGTGAAGGCTACTCCATTTCTTCTGAGGGATTCTTGCCCACAGTAGTATACCTGCTGGTCATCTGAATTAAATTCACCCATTCCTGTCCATTTTAGTTCACTGATTCCTAAGATGTCTATGTTCAGTCTTGTGAACTCTTGTTTGACCACATCCAGCTTGTCTTGATTCATGATTCTTACATTCCAGGTTCCTATGGTATATAGATCTTTACAGCATTGGACTCTCCTTTCACCACCAGATACATCTGCAACTGAATGTCCTTTCGGCTTTGACCCAGTCACTTCATTCTTTCTGGCGCTACTAGTACTAGCCCTCCGCTCTTCCCCAGTAGCATATTAGACACCTTCCAACCTGAGGGGCTCATCTTCCTGTGTCATATCTTTTTGCCTTTTGGTACTGTCTATGGGGTGTTCATGGCAAAGATGCTGGAGTGGGTTGCCATTTCCTTCTCCAGTGGATCATGTTTTGTCAGAGCTCTCTGCTATGACCTGTGCATCTTGAGTGGCTCTGCACAGCATAGCTCATAGCTTCATTGAGATACGCACGCCCCTTCACCATGACAAGGAGTGAGTGTACTATCGGTGTTGTAATAGTTTGTAGCCATTTGAAATAAAGACTCTTTTAAGCAATTGCTGGAGTGATTGCCTTTGTTGGGAAGGGGCGCCTGGCTCATGACACTGGGAGTGGGGGTGGCCATGATATACAGGGAAATTATCTTCCTCTCTAGGCTTCCTGTTCAGTAAAAGGCTAGTCTTTGAAACAGAAACAGAGCAAGTCAGAAGGGGCCTCCTGAGCCATTTTAGTCTGACTCCCAGCTCCTGCCAGCTCCACTCATGACATGCCTACCAAGTTCATGTTTAAAGTGTGTGTACCTTGTGTTGGGCACTCGAGACAAATTAGGGATTCTGCTGGTGTACTACCCACACTGCTGCCCATCAGACACCCTGCCTGAGCTGATTGAGGTGGTCTCAGATCTGGTGTTGAGGATCTCCAGTGTTCTGGGGGCTCTCAATCTCCATGCCAAGGCTGCTTTATCCAGGGCATGTTAGGACTTCATAGCTGCCATTACAGTCATGGAGCTGTCTCAGCATGTCATTTGCCTTACACATATAAAAGGCCACACCTGGACCTGGTTTTTTCAACTGGACAGGTAGATGGTCTGAATGTGGGGTGATTAACATCAACCCCCTTGCCATGGTCAGACTACTACCTTTTGAGGTTTAGGCTTTCAGTCTCTTTTCCCCTCTGCAAAGGTGGGGGACCTATTAAAATGGTGCACGCCCCAGAGACTGATGGTTTTCAGAGGGTTCTGAGGGAATTTCTAGCTGATATGGCTGGCTCTCCTGTCAATGTTCAGATTACTCTGTGGAATGTGGAGATGCCCAAGACTGTTCACACAGTTGCACTCAGGCATCCTCTTCCCTGATGCAGAGCCCACCCTGCTCCTTGGCACACCCCAGAGCTGAAGGCAATGAAGGAGGAGGGGAGATGACTAGAGTGCAGGTGGAGGAAAATCTGTGCTACGTCTGACCAGAGATGGCTTACCTGAATTGGCTGCTGATGTATGATTAAGAAGACATGTCTTTCAGAGGTGCTATTTATGAAGATAAATTTAAGTGAACCAGTGATCAACCCAGTTGTTATACTTACAGAATTATTGTGAGTCTTTCTGTTGCCAGCTGATTTAAATGACCCATTGATTCTATCAAAATAATCAGAATGCTGTTTTTGAGGAACTATAGGATGCTTTTTGCTGTCTTTTGAAGCTGAGATCCTGATGCCTTTTCTGTTGTGGGTAGGATGTGACGGAGTTAGAGGCATATCTGAAGAACAAAGATACAGAATAATCAGTATTCTATAATGTATAACTTAGTTAAATAACTCAGTATGTATTTGATACTTCATTCAAAGATTCATGTATGAATTGGCCCCATTGAAAAGGGTCACTGAGCTGATATGAAAGTTTGGTCTATTGTTTTTCATTTGAGCCAAACAAGATGTACTGGGACAGCCACATTTTTCAGATCAGCCCTATTCACATCAAAAGAGCTGTGAGGCATCTTATTTTCCTAACAAATTGTATACATGAAATAGGTTTTGAATGCTAGCTCACCTTACCTTCTCCCTCACTGTACTCCTGGTTTATATGTGTGGGGCAGGCCCATGGATAAACAAATGTGGCTATCTTGCTTGGCCCTCCATGTTTCTTTATTTTCATATGCAAGTATATATGATGCCATACACCATTCCATCTCATTTTATAAGATGAGACCAGAAGGCATTGTGTTAGCAGCATGAAAGATTAAAAAGCCTCTGATGCCACAAGGAAGTTTTTGAGCATGGCACATAAACATCCTGGCACCACGTGGGTCCCCTTCTGGATATTGTGTTGTCCAATAAAGCAGACAGAGGTTGAGTTATAAAGCCAGGTCCTCACTATATTGGATGTCTTTGTGGATATGCACACATAGGTCCAGCCATGCTGGTGCTAGTCCTTTTTGCACAAACCATTGCAGAGGTTTGGTGGTGAACAGATTGGAATAGAACCACTTTGTGATGGAGCAACTCTCTTGTGTCTGTTTTCGCTGACCGCAGTGACAGATCAAAAGTTTGAATATTCTCTCATATTTAAAACCACAATAGAACCCTGTACATAGAAAATAAATGTGTTAGGGAAAATAGTCCTATCCTATGCTAACATGCCAGGAATGTTGGAAGGAATTGAATTGAAAGGAATGGAACTGGAAGTTGGAAAGAAGGCAATTAGACATAATGACTGACATGCATGTGTAACAGGTCTAAGTGCCATAAAAATATCAGTCTATAGTGCAACTGTGTTCAAATCGCAAGAACTGTGTGCACATTGATTTTATTATTAGGTTGCTTGTTTTGCTTTAACAGCCTTCGAACAGCAAACTTCTACAAACAAGTTATTAACTTGTTTTCCTGGATTCATTATGATTTCAGATGTTAACTTTCCTTGTATCATTGTATAATTGAGCCCTGCTCCATGTACCTACGGCATGTCAGGTAAGGATAGTTACAGGCAGAAGTAGGGCTATGGCTAAAATCATAAACTGCAAGTTGTTCCAAGGTTATGGAGTTACCTACCCACAGAGAAGTGGAGATTTTTCTACTTACTGGGCTTTATACAAGTTTTATCTCTTCCAACTAGTGGCGGCTTCTCCTTCTCCTTCCCACTCTTCTGACTTAATCATTGATTTTCTGTTCTTTTTTGAATTGCTGTTAATTTTATTTGTTTTTATTGTGCTTTAAAAGTTATTGTATGCTGTCAGGGATATAACAGAGGCAGAAGAGATTAAGAAGAGGTGGCAAGATTACACAGAAGAACTATACAAGAAAGAGCATAATGTCCCTGATAACCATGATGGGGTGGTCACTGACCTCGAGCCAGACATCCTGGAATGTGAAGTCAAATGGACCTTAGGAAGTCTGAGCAACAACAAAGCTAATGGAGGTGACAGTATTCCAGCTGAGCTATTCAAAATCTTAAAAGACAATGCAGTAAAAGTGCTACACTCAATATGCCAGAAAATTTGGAAAATTGAACAGTGCACACAGGATTGGAAAAGGTCAGTTTACATTCTGATCCCAAAGAAGGGCAATGCCAAAGAATGTTCAAACTACTGCACCATTGCACTCATTTCACATGCGAGCAAAATTATGCTCAAAATCCTACAAGCTAGGCTCCAGCAGCATGTGGACTGAGAACTACCAGAAGTACAGGCAGGATTTCAAAGAGGGAGAGGAACTAGAGAGCAAACTGCCAACATACTCTGGATCATGGAGAAAGTTAGGGAGTTCCAGAAAAACATCTACTTCTGCTTCATTGACTATGCTAAAACCTTTGATTGTGTGGATCACAACAAATTGTGGCAAGTTCTTAAAGGGATGGGAGTACCAGACCATCTTATTTGTCTCTTGAGAAACCTACATGCGGGTCAAGAAGCAACAGTGAGAACTGGACACGGAACCACTGATTGGTTCAAAATTGAGAAAGGACTTTGGCAAGGCTGTATACTGTCGCCCTGCCTATTTAACTTATATGCAGAGCATATCATGAGAAAGGTGGGCCTAGATGAATCACCAGCTGGAATTAAGATTGCTGGGAGAAATATCAACAACCTCAGATATGCAGATGATACCACTCTCATGGCAGAAAGTGAAGAGGAACTAAAGAGCCTCTTGATGCGGGTGAAGGAGGAGAGTGCAAAAGCTGGCTTGAAACTTAACATTAAGAAAACTAAGATCATGGCATCCGGTCCTCTCACTTCCTGGCAAATAGATGGGGAAGAAATGGAAGCAGTGACAGATTTCATTTTCCTGGGCTCCAAGATCACAGCAGATCGGGACTCCAGCCAAGAAATTAAAAGACCCTTGCTCCTGGGGAGGAAAGCTATGTCAAATCTAGACAACATACTAAAAAGCAGAGACATCATGCTGCCAACAAAAGTGCGTAGAGTCAAGGCGATGATTTTCCCAGTTGCAATGTATGGCTATGAAAGCTGGACCCTAAGGAAGGCTGAGCACTGAAGAATTGAGGCCTTTAAACTGTGGTGCTGGAGGAGACTCCTGTGAGTCCCCTGGACCGCAAGGTGATCAAACCAGTCAGTCCTAGAAGAAATCAACCCTGAATGCTCTTTAGAAGGCCAGATACTGAAGATGAAACTCAAATACTTTGGCCACCTAGTGAGAAGGAAGGACTCCCTGGAGAAGAAACTAATGCTGGGAACAATAGATGGCAAAAGAAGAAGGGGACGGCAGAGAATGAGGTGGCTAGATGGAGTCACTGAAGCAGTTGGTGTGAGCTTAAGTGGACTCTGGGGGATGGTGGAAACAGGTAGGCCTGGAGGAATGTCGTCCATGGGGTCGCGGTGGGTCGGGCATGACTTCGCGACTAACAACAACATACTCAGCTATGGGATGTTTTGATATATAAATAGATTATTTATATAATCTATTTATAATCTCTTCAACAGCTCAAGAGATCTTTTGATATATAAATAGATTCAATATATAATAAATCTCATTATGCATTTGGAATCTGAATGAATTGCAAACAGGTCCTGAGGTGTTGACAATATTGTGATACTACCAGGGTTTGTTTAACCAAGTGGCTATCAATTCAAATTCAGCAGTTCCATACTAACATTTACAGCTCTCAAATGAATGTGACACCTGTAAATAATAACAGAACTCTGGAGAATAACCATGATAAAGTGTCTCTTCCTTTCTTCATTATGAAATTGTAGCAAGACCAGCTTCCCCCAGTGAACCAGCTTTGCACCTAAATCTTCAGCTAGAAGGGGACAAGAAGCATGGAGCAGTTTAGGACTAGGCTTCTTGAAAAATATCCATCTCTCACTTGAGATGCCCCACCCACTGTATGAACTTTCAGAGGTCTTGCTTTGCATTCAGTTACCATTGGAGGTCTGGCTAGCTAGGATGCAGATCCAGTCTTCCCTGTAGCAGTGACCAAGGAGTGAAATGCTGTCTCTCAGAGGTATTGATGAGTCCTTTCATTATTGTCTTTTGGATAGACTGCTAAAAACTTTTTGTGCCAAAGCACTCTCAGTTATTTCATACACACACCACTTTTGTCTCTTCTCTATTCCATGATATATGGGCTTAAGCACCTCAACTCTGAACAGGACAGCAGTCTGTGTACATATTCTCAGAATCAACAGATACAGGAAAAATATGCTGAAATAATAACAGACACTGTCTCTGATTTGGTAGCTTTGCTTGCTTTCCCATGCAGATTAAGCTATCTATTTATATACATATTTTCCATATGAACACACTAGATGCAAGAAGATATTCTACAGAGCAACTGCTTATGGAAAAAATAAGGAAAACTTTAAGGAAGTTCACTTTAAAGGCACTTCTGTTCCTTCCCCAGCATGAGCCAGCTTCTTAGCCAGCAATTAACAACAAAGAAAAGTATGATCTTACCGTGTGTTCCAACTTCCATACTGCAGTTAGGGCTTAAATCTGGAGTTTTCCCCAAAACTAAGAGGATCTGGCTGTGTTGGCTAGCTGCAATCTGTTTCTGGTCCCACGCTAGTTTGTCATTGGTGAATAGAACTGGCAGGATACAACTATTTCCATCCTAGCCTAAACTATCCAGGGAGCTTTGACTGTGGCGCAGTATAGAAAATGCAATAAATAAATAAATAAACCACAGGCCAAAGCAAATTAGCCAGTTCTTCTGTTTCAGTAATCACCAACTAAACAAGGAAGAAAAATTGTTCAGGAGATATCTTAGCTGAGATGCTGGCATCTTTCCTTAAAATTCATAGACTGCCAAAAGCAAGAGAACAGCAGGAGATAATATAAAGGAAAATCCAGGGTAAAGCTGGTGTCTTAAGTTAAAATCCGCTTTCCTCAGAAGCCAAAAGGAGCAGTCGCTTCTGCTGATGAGGATTAGATGAAAAATTCTAGCTCTTATTACTGCTGCAAACAGAGTCACAGTGTCTCTGAAAGAGTGGGCAATGCTACCTGGCAGGAGGTAAGTCTGGCAGGGTTTGTTTGTTTGTTTTTTTTAATAAGGCTACATCCCCGCTTTCTCATGTTACCATACTACTTGGATGTTGCATGCTCATTTCAGCATGAAATATTCAAGGGATTATTTTATAATCACCTGTAGAATCAGATCAAGGCCATTAGGTCCTGTTTAGTCATGAACCTCAGGTTTCCATGGTGAATTTTTTTGTGGACATAGAAATCAAATATGCTATCCAGGAAAAAATGCTCCTCTTACCTTTGGTATCCTAAACAATTTTATTTTGTTGCCTTTAGA